ATTCCTCTTGATATTTGGTTTATTCCTACCCACTGCAAACTTGTTAATGCAATGTTCAGGACCCAAATAGCGGCCATAGATTTAAGAACACGATTTCCCGAAAAAACGTTATTGTATCTCGCCCGAAGTCGAACTGCTACTAAACGTTCGTAGGAAACGGCACTTAGAGTCATGAAAGAAACCCCGCAACAAATGTAAAACGCATTGGAATACATGACTCTTACGAAGCAAGGGACCGAACGATGCTGGTTTTCCATGAGTCTAAAACAAATGTAACCTGGTTGAACTGTTAGGCCAACAAGCACATCTGAGAGAGCAAGACATCCTATTAAAAAATTTGAAGGCGTTCGTAGACGGGAACTGGTAAGGATTGCAATGACGATTAAAGAATTGGATATCACGGCCAAAGGAGAGGCGATAATGTTGATGATGGCGGTTACAAGGTTCATGGTAAACCGTTGTGAAGCTCCGTCGAAATTGGGATCTGGTAAATGAAAACATGTTGCGACAGCTAGAGAGTTCTGAGATGATGTGTTATTAGCCATAAATGACGAAGAATGGTCGCTTTGTCGCTGTTCTACACTGTAGATGTGTACTCAAAATTTGTTTTTGGTTCAGTTTTCGTAGATAAGACAACCTTGGCTTTGAACTCTCCGCTTTCGACGTCCTTCTTACTTTCTGATTTCAAAATATGTTGCTTTGAAAACATCTGCGGATTACTTTGAGTTGTACAACGTAATAACGGATGTGTGGGTTGAAACTTGTAACCGCGAAAACAATAAATTGGAAACGCTCCATATCTTGTTCACAGATAGGTACCATGGTCAATCAACTTCAACGTCTACGAAATATTCTTTTACAATCTCTGAAACATTACTTTTCCTTGCTTCACAATGGTGGCTATATTATATGACGTTGTCAACCCAAATCATTTCAGGAAGTGCGGAAATGTCCTTTTGCAAACATGATAATATAAACCGGATATTGCGCCTTATAGGTAGGATAGATATATTTACTTTGACGAACATTGTCGCCAAATTAATTAGTCACAGAGTACACTTCCAATTTTCCCTATTTGTTCTTATTTATGCTATGAAAGCTCCCTTAAAGCCTTCTTTTTTTGTAAAGAAAAATATAGGAAATAAAATTAAATAGAGTAAAATAAGAATGCAAAAAGAAAAGAATGACTTTATAATCAAATCCCTTTTTCAACTGCGAGAAAAATTGGCAAAGCTGTTCTCATCGTGTTTTTATTTACCAATGTAAATTTCGGCGAGCGCTTAGTACATTTGACAATGAACCTTGTAACATCACTATCAACGTGCATAAGTTCTTCTCTCATATAAATCCATATTGCTATCTTTACCAGTTGTCGCCTACGGATACACCTACACATACATACATAATTTTATTTATACTCGGGTTGGTGAGGCTGATTAGTCCTCTAGTAAAAGAGTATGCTAATTTTCCTACAAATAATTAATAGACAAGCTAAGTAAAATTCAGAAAAAAAGGTGAAAAGAAGAAAAATTTTAATAATAAACTAGAAGGTATAACTATAGTAGGAATTCTAACTTATAAAAACGTTAGCCACCATGGTATATGA